GGAAGATTATCTTTATTCAGATACTGGTCAAGATTATCGTTATTTTCCCTCTCAGATGTTTGAAGCCTCTCCTGCCCAAATTCCAAAGTTTTCCGAGAAAACTTTCCGTTGTTTGTTTTTGCTACAGGCGATAACATTCGAGCAGATTTGCGGATCTGGCGTTTCCAGCAAATGCTTCCTTACTGGAGTTGCCTTTGTGGGAGTTGAATTGCTAATTTTACCTTGTATCGGTTCCTGGACGAATTGATACAGTGATCCAAGATTTCGAATCTTGCAAGCACAAGGATTACTAACGCGACTTTAATACTTCTCACATTTTAACTTTCTGGCAGATTTGTACTAAAACTTCACCCTTGCAGTCCTTCCTTTTAGACGGATTGAGTAGAAATATAGCTTGATTATAAATTACCAAATTNTTGAAGCCTCTCCTGCCCAAATTCCAAAGTTTTCCGAGAAGACTTTCCGTTGTTTGTTTTTGCTACAGGCAATAACATTCGAGCCAATTTGCGGATCTGGCGTTTCCAGCAAACGCTTCCTTACTGGAGTTGCCTTTGTGGGAGTTGAATTGCTAATTTTACCTTGAATCGGTTCCTGGACGAATTGATACAGTGATCCAAGATTTCGAATCTTGCAAGCACAAGGATTACTAACACGACTTTAATACTTCTCACATTTTAACTTTCTGGCAGATTTGTACTAAAACTTCACCCTTGCAGTCCTTCCTTTTAGATGGATTGAGTAGAAATATAGCTTGATTATAAATTACCAAATTTTATTCATTGAAATTTCTCCGTCCCACCGCGCGCTCGTTGTTTCAGACATATTTTGACAAGTTTTAAGTTTATTTTGGTTCAAAGTTCACTTCCGCTATGGAAGGCCGAAGATTTTATTGGCTAATTTTATGACAGCCGACGACAGCATGAAATCTCAGTGTGCGCAGTCAGACATGAAAGGCCAAGTGGGCGGTTTTCAAAACCCAGGGGTTTGTCTGCAAGCGTTTCCTTCCTTCCTTCCCCTCCCCCTCCCCCCTCTTTTACTCGCTCCTTTTTTCGCGCTGTAATATTCTTTGCTCCTGAACCCCACAGAAACGCTTGCTATGCAGGCTACTGTTTACAGTATTGATTTGGTTAATTTGACAAGTGTCTTGGTTCCGATGTACAGCAAGAAAGAAACTGGGAACTTATAATATGTTAAATATGTTATGTTAAATTTGCCCTTTCAAACTGTCTCGAATAGAATGAGTTAAAATATAATAGAAGATGTTGGTTAGTTAACTAATAGTTGATTGTTTGGGTTATACATATTTATGATAAGATGCCTAAGTTATAGGAACAATATGAGTGATATACTTAACAAAGAAAAAAGAAATAAAAGCTTTTGTTCATACTATAATGTTTAATTGCTTTCAATCTGCAGAAATAAAAGAAAGCAGCTGCAGCTTTAGTGATAACTATTACTAGTCTAACTGTTTTAGTAGAATTCTTACTAAAATTTTCTCAGCTGTTGTATGTTAGCTGAGAAAATTTACTCATCAGTTTTTTCAACATTTTCTAGTCACAAAACTGTGAATGTCATTCTTTTAGTCTTCTCAGGAATTTAATTATCCATTTGTATCTAAATGTTCTTCTGCAACTTAACAAAAACGAGGAAATGGTGCTATTTTCCAGGCGACCTTCAGCCAATGCACACTAATGGCTGATAGTATACAGATAGCTCAGCCAATCAGATTGCGGCATTTGCATTACTATACTCATAGAATTCTACAAATAAAAATTAGAATTAATCATTCTGTGAGGAAATCATTTCACTGCCATGTCATGTGACTTGAACTTGGTACAGCTGTGAAAGCCTTACCCATCGATAAGTGGATTCACAAAAAAGTCTAAAGGAAGCGGAGGAGCAAAGGATTGAAGGATTGAGAGAAATTTGTGCCCATACCTACGACTCAGAAAATGGGAGATTCCAGAAAATATCCATACCTATACCATGGGCAGCTTTATTAAATTCCAAGGACAAGAGGGGTGGGGGTCTTTGAACTGAAAATCCAAAGGTATGGGGGTACCTCCAATTGGAATTCCAAGGGCATGGGGGGTTTCTAGAGAGGACAGACAAAAACTGACAACGGCGGAAAGCAAGATGCAAAACAAGCATCAATCAACGTTTTCACAATCATTTACAGAAGAAAACCCCTAAAATCTTGTCATATTTATCGTTTGGTGAATGTCGACCTGCCATGTCTGTTTCCTATGCGCCAGCAATACACATTCATAAGGGAACCACTGTAACGGTGTCTGATCAAGTGAATACTGTTTGTAATATCAAAGGTAAATTAGGCAGGATTTACCCACCCAGTTACTGTAATTAAAACACAAAACAATTGAAATTTTTACTTCTTTAGGAGTTTAGTTGAAAACTAGTTGTAAAATTGAGACCGAGGAGGAGGAAGTTTTAGTCAGGAACATTTAGTCACGAATACATGGAATCGTATCAGTTGCAATTTCGAGCCCTGTTGACAGTTGTTTTACTGAAAATCATTTGCAATAACTTCTGGGAATATGTAAAAGTGAAAAATCTCCTTCACTGAAATTCGTAGGGAGGCAAACAAGGAATTCCAGTGGTCGAAATAAAAAATGAAAATCAGGAGGGGAGAGGGGTTTAATGATTTTGGAATTCAGGGTGCATGGGGGGTAGAGCATTTCAGTATTTCCAAAGGCAAGGGGGGCTAAAATGTTCATGCCGCCTGTGGAAGGGTATAGATATTTTCTGGAATCACCCAATACTATTTTTCTGAGTTAAACGTAAGGAGATCTAGTATATCTAGTATAATAGAACTTAAACTAATGAAAAGAAAATCCTAATCTTATGCAGTCAATCTTTTACTAGTGCATGTACATTCTGTATGATACATAAATATGAATTATTCTATAATTGCAAAATGAAAACTAGTTTCATAATACGCAAGAATCTTTTCCCCGTTCATCTCATTGATAAATGCATCTACCGATATTTGAACACAGCCATTGACCGATATGGCTCCACTCAAACACCTCCTTCCTCTAATACTACTTCACAGGGTAAACAATACTTTTATAATACCTTATTTAGGCCTTTTTCTACTGTAGCTCAAAGCAAAATACGCCACCTTGTCAATCGTTATTGTAATGATCTTGACATCAAATTAGTGTTTACCACGTTTAAATTAAGAAATCTTTTCTCAGTGAAGGATTCTGTCCCTAGAGAACTTCTTTCATGTGTGATTTACAAATTTACTTGTGCTTACTGTAATGCTTGTTATATGGGCGAAACTGGCCGTCATCTTTCCACAGGCGTCTGTGAACATCTCTCTTCAGACAAGTCCTCACACATCTTCAAACACTTACAAAGCTCAGAACGTTGTCACCAATCTTGCTCTACGGATTGTTTCGAAATCCTTGATTCTACCCCTACTAAATTTCAACTTAAACTTAAGGAGGTTATACATATAAATTGGCGAAAGCCCAATTTAAATCAACAAGTTCATCACGTCAATCTGACACTTACGCTTTAGGCTTTACATTCTTTCCAACACTTTGCAAATCACTCAAACATGTAATCTATTTTTGTCACTTAATCATAATTAACTATGCATGTTTCGCCTAGTTGTTATATAGTCCTAGCGGTTTTTCAAATATTCTGTAACTGACGATGATGTTAGTAACATCAAAACATGTCTTATTAACTAAAAAATGTTGTAATCTTCTTAAAATCATGATTTGCTTCGTGCTGTCTCGACCTTTTGATGTCTATTTTAATTAGTTTAAGGTTTATTTCATTTTGATCATGTTACATTATTTAAAACCACAACAAAACTGTACTGTACACCTGTGTATTACACTGTGATGCAACACAGAAGCAACTTGAGGCACAACTCAACACATAAATATGATGAAATTCTTACTTGGAATGCTTTTTCCAACCAATTGAAGTTTTATTCTCTGCAAAATAATAAGAAGTAGATACACAGTCAAATTTAATTTGGAGATGAAGCCATCTAAAGTGGTAAGCGTGCTATTTTTCTCCAGAAAGACATTTCACTCTTGCAGTGCCTCTCTCCACCCATGTGAATACATATGTAAATGGGTACTGGCAAACTTAATGCTGTGAGGCATTGTAGATAGTAGTCTATCAATGAAGACAGTCACACAAATGAAAAAACTCTTGATTCTTCCATTTGAAATGCACAAGGCTTACAATTTTCATCCAACTTTCATTCTTCTTTTGGATCATCCAGAACAAAATTAAAGTAACTTTAGAAGAGATTGTATGAGAAATATTTTGGAAGAAAACTCTGTTTTGCTCACTTTCCTGACATGCTCTATTCAATTCAAAGAGTGTTGTCTCATGTCAAAGCAGACTGCATTGATGACTGCTGGTTCAATTGATGGCAGAAACAATCAATTCAAAGCAGAAATGTTATCACTATCGTAGTCCAACATACATTAATTAACTAAATCAATATCTTACAAAGTCACCACAGAGTTTCACTTTCTATTATAGAACCCCAGGTAAAGAACCCTGTTCTAGACTAAATTATTTATGCTCTGGCCACTTTTCCTTTAAATAATACTCTATTCTAGACCAAAACTGTCTGATTTCTGTACCCTATCCCAGACTCAACTGCCTGAAAACCATACCCTTCACAGCGGCATATACCCATAGCTTATTAATGGGAGTACCACCCCCCCTCCCCTTTCACGGGTTATTTACCAACTCCTATCCAACATTAAAGGGCTCAGTTAAGGGAAAGTCAGTCATAAGTATTCATAAAGAAATTGTGCATAAATTCACACATTACCTTGTCCAGGAACTACTACATCAGCACTTTGCACAGCCTCAAGGGGTAAACTACACTTCCAACAAAACAGTGCACCATCACAACTTACAGTATATGTCTAATTGAATATTGTCAAGTCTGAAATAATTCATCATTCGATAATACACATACAAGCTATCAGTCTAATAAACTATGTCAAACCTTCAATGCTGTCCTAAAAAGACAAAAATTGGTGCATGTGCTCTTTTCAATGAAGCCCCCACAAACTATATCGTCTATCAATAGAAAGGTTATGAAACATAGAATTTGTTAAAATTATGCTCTATTTTGGTGATTCTTTTTCTTGTCACCCTGGCACTCTTATTATAATAATTACTTTATTTTATATTCAGTAACTTGCACACTTTGTAAAATTTAATTATTCTTTTTTTCAAAGAATGTTAGCTTGAATTATAAACTTTACAATTGAAGGGTAAAAAAATTCACAAAAGAAGCCCTGCAAAGATTTGGAGTAACATTAACTTAGCACAGCTGACAAAGTGGTACCATAAATCCTCGAATTAGTGCCCAGGGTGCTTATTTCAAATTTAGGAGAAGATGAGAGACGCTTATTCAAGGGAGGGACGCTTATTAAATTTTTCCCAAATCATGGCCTGTCATGATCATTTTTTTAATACATCATCTGTGTGTAAACAACAACATAAGCTGTTTATTGACATGAAAAGCTGATCCTAAAGTTTAAATCGCAGCAGCGTTAGTACTTAACATGTTCAATGTGTTCACTTAACTGAAAAAAACAATGTACAAATCTAATACTACATGACGAAAACTATACATCCTTTGTTGTCTCATTACTTGTCCAAAAAATGGGGGAGGGGAGGGGGTGCTTATTTGAGGGGAGGGGGCACTTATTTTAAATTTTGGCTAATAGGAGGAGTGGTTATTTGATTGGGGTGCTCATTTGAGGAGGGCGCTAATTCAAAGATTTACGGTTTAAACAACTCAGGAAACATCATGCAATGCTTAGATTTAAGTTCAGGGCTTAAACAAACATCAGCAGCTCTCTAGATCAAATAGATCAGCAGTTATCTTACTGGCCACAGCAGATGCAATGTCTAGAACAGACAGAATCTTCCTGGCTTAAACTGTCAAATGGAAAATACTTTTTCCCTAGATATCTTATCTCTGCAAAGCCATTAAAACCAAAGTTGTTGTTCTCAGCACACAATGTTTTCTGATGCCAGGAGCACTGTTTCTATTCTTCTTTCAGGTGGAAATGCGAGAGAATGCCCTCTAAAAGTTGCTTGAAGCACTTTGAAATGACCATCCCAAACTGGTTGACAGAAAAGGGAATAACTTTTACTGAGATGTAGGATGCAAAATACAGAATCAGATAGCCAGTAATTATGACATTCTACCAAAATTTGTGAACTCTTTGTGTACATGTTGTGAAATATAGACCTGTCAGCATGAAGCTGTCAGCGGTCTCACCAATTGGTTTAGGGTAGGAGAATCTTGTATCATACTACACTGTAGGTCAGTAGCATCAAAAGAAAGTTTAAAAGGTCTGATTCCCTGAAAGATCTTCCTCCCAAGAGCATGCTTACCTCACCAATTTTCTTTTCATGCTCACCATACCTGTTGTTCACACACTACAAATATGTAGCACATTGTAACAAAATTACACCAGCCCTGGACTACCTCTTATTACCCCAAATATCAGAATTACCAATTTCATAATACATAATCCCTGTTTAGAGCGTAATTCCCATCACTATTATCAGGGGTTTCATTAATGTTTTCAGCAGGAGGGCAACTGGTTTTGATAGGTGGGCAAAACTATTAGAACTGAACTGCTCTGAAAGAAAAACTTTCCAATAGATAGTCAAACCAGCCAGGCAAATTGTCCTCACAGCCAGTCAATTTGCCCAGTACCCCACCCTTAATGAAACCCCTGTATTATCCCCAAGGTATACATCCTCCACAAATAATAAGTTTACACTCTGAATTCAATACCAACAAAGATACATCCAGTGAGTTTTCTTCAAAGAAACAGCCTCTTACAGTGTTTCGGTGGCCAGACAGGGTGACTGGAGAAAAATTCACCACAGGGAAAAGTGAAAAGATACGTCCTGTCATGTCTCTGCTGCCCACAACAAAAAATCTGACCATAAAAAAGGAACACATACATGTAAACCTGAGTGCTTTTACACATTTACACTAAATACAAACACAAGTAAGTATATTGCAAAATTCTGACACTTAAGCCTAGGCTTCTTTTGTGTAATTATTTAGTTCACATCTCAGAGAATTTTAGACAAATTTCATGGCTCTCAAAATTTCAATTTTTTTCAAACACCTTCTCTGAGTCTTGATTTATTTTGGAAGGATAAGAAAGTCTGGGGGCCACAGAAAATATATTAGTCTTACCATCTCACAAAGTCTCAAATTTTACTATTCACCATCCCTAGTGGAGGCACAGTGGACTAATGATTAGTGCACTGAACTCTGAATACAGCAGTCTGGGTTTGAGCTCTAGCTCATTGCATTGTGTGTTAAATGGAAATTTAATGCTAGGGGAACCCTGAGGGTATAGCCCTGCGATGGATGAGCATCCCATCCAGAGGGTGTAAAAATATTCCTAGTCGCTTGATGCTACAAAAACCAGGATAACCTCTGGCTGTATGGGCCACTGACCTGGTACAGACTTTTTGTGGTTATAGAAGGATTTGGAAGTGATGTCACATGTAACAATTGTTCAGGAAGTTGTCTTTTGTTCTGCTTATAATTATTACAAGCATAACTAAAGAATGTACAATTTTCAAACATTGAGAGCTGAATAATCACATACAGTAAATCACCTGTACAACCCTCTAAGTACATACACACTTTATAGCAGAATATTCAGACAAAGAAGACGACGAAGCTCTAAAAGCTCCTTCAATGGCCGCCGACCTTGGGAAGAAACTGGATGAAGTCTTAAAGAGAGTCACTAAGCTGGATGTCATTGAAAACCGCTTCAATAATTTATACACTACTATGGCTAATATAAAAGGAGCTATTTCCAGCTTAGACAAGGATGTTGCTGAGCTGAAAGCTAAATCCAAAACCACCATCGACTCTGTGAATAAACTGGAACAAAGTGTAGACTTCAATGCCAGTGACATCGCCAACTTGAAACGTGACCTACTCAGGAACTCAAATTTGAGAACAAAAGCCTCAAGAAAAAGCTCCTGTATTCCGACTCCTACAGCAGAAGAAAAAACCTGAAGTTTACTGGCATTGTTGAAAATCCCAGCAACTCAACAGACAATCAGAATGTGGCGAAGTTGAGCGATTCCCTACTGAGTGAAAACACTAAATGTGACCGTGAACGGGAAAACGTACCTTAACGCTTATCCGTTAAATGGCTGCTAACGGACGGATAGCTAACGGATAGTTAACGGCCTTCACAACATTCTAACGTTTTGTCCTAACGTTCTAACGGTTATCTAATTGTGCCTAACGGATCACCAAAGCGTTCTAACGCTCTCTCCTAACGTTCTAACTGCTAACTAAGTATGTCTAACGGATGAAGAACACGTTCTAACGGTTGCACAGTTTGTTCTAACGGATGACTGAAGCCGTTTAACGGTTGTCTAATGGCCTACATCTAAGGACGTTTAACGGTTGTCTAAC